GCAACAGCATTTTTATTTTTTAAGTTGTTTATTTTTATTTCTTTTAGAATTCGTTATTTTTTTAGCGAAATGTTTTTTAACCTAACAGAATTCTTTGCCGACTGTTTTCTCTATGAATGAAGAAAATAAAGTAAATATTTAACTGTTGTGAAAAGAATCTTATTTAGTTGTACAAAGTACTTCAGCCAAAATTTGGGAGCCACGTAAGAGAATTATATATATTAGATCAGAAACACATCATTAAAAGGCAGAATGCTTTGGTGTTTTCAAAACAAAGCAAACGTTGCCACCGGCGGAAAAGAAATACAACCAAAATTTGGGAGCCACGTAAGAGAATTATATATAATAGATGTATTCTTTTTCCTTTTTTATTAGTTCAATGTATAACGACATAAACAGATAGCAAAATATGTATAAAAAAGGAAATATCTAATATAATGTTAATGGAACTGTGACAGTTGGATTTGACATGCATACATTTTTTTTTAATTTCATAAGTTTCATTTTATTTTTATACTTTTCCATTCGCAGGCATTCAAAACTGAAAAATAAATAAATATTTAAATAGTTAAAAATAATAGTTCAGCTCAATGGCACTTTTGATCGATAATAAAACAAATTAGCAACTTTGATATAATCAAACTATGCACTTATTCGGCAGTGTTAATTGTATTTGTATTAGCAATAAGAACGTTCTATGACAAGACGATGAATTATATTTATAATGGTTTTTTTGCCGAAAAATAATGAATATTTACCTCTTATAAATTTATTCAAGTTGTGGTGAACCACCTTCTCACCAGATGGCGATGAACTTTGTTCGCCAGGTGGCAGTACAAAACTTTCCCCTCAAGAAAATGACTTTTCTATAAGATGGCAACATCTCTGAGTTAAAACCTTAGTTTCAAGAAATGGCAACACGTCAATTGTCTAACATTCATTCCATCTTGCTGTCTGATGAACTTACACCATTTTTGAAATGCTGCTGTCGCTAATCCTAGTCGTCTTTCTATTTATAACTTAATATGATTTCTTTTATGTTTTATTATTATTAAACTGTGTTGATAGTTAATTTTTATTGAATTAATTTATTTAATATATTTTACCTAATCACCACAGATTGGTGACCCGGACGTGATGAACTTTGATGAACTGGCTAAAGCTCAAAAAAGTGACACTGAACTTCAAGCTCTTCTGAGTGATAAAAAGTGCTCGCCAAACTTCCAGTCATTACATCTGACGAATGGACTGCACATAATTTGTGACTCTAGCAAGCAAAAAGTTAGACCATATGTCCCTGTTCAGTTTAGGAAACCTATTTTCTTTGCTTTCCATAACCTATCCCATCCTGGTGTAAGAGCCACTAAAAAACTTGTCATGGACAGATACGTTTGGCCTGCTATCGCCAAAGATATAGTCGAATGGACCAGAAGCTGCCTAGACTGCCAGAGATCCAAAGTCACCCGACACACTCGTAGTCCTATCCAGTCATTCATACCACCTTCAGCAAGGTTCGACCATATACACCTTGACCTGGTCGGACCCCTGCCACCCTCCAATGGTAACAGTTACTTGTTAACGTGCATCGACATATACACCAGATGGGCAGAAGCAGTACCACTGGCGGATATTACAGCTGAAACTGTAGCTCGAGCTTTTGTTGAGCATTGGATTGCTCGATTTGGTGTACCTTCAAGAATCACCACAGACCAAGGAAGACAATTTCAGTCATCGCTTTTCACGTCATTAGCTCAAATATTGGGCACTCATCAAATTCGCACATCTCCGTACCACCCAGCCAGCAATGGAATGGTTGAGCGCTTCCACCGCTCACTAAAACAAGCTTTGATGTGCCACAGCAACAAGAGATGGACTGAAACCCTACCGATAGTACTCTTGGGTCTCCGCTCTGCTTTTAAAGAGGACTTGAAGTGTACAGTCCGCAAAAAAAAAACGAATCACCCTGAATAACTTTCGTTCTAATGATCGGATTTTCACGAACTAAGTGTCAATCTTAATGGTTCCTGGGGGTGACCTCAAATATGCTAATTAATTAGTGCTAACTATTAATTAAGTTACGAAATCAGACACAAAAACGTACTTTCTCTGAATAAACATATA